ATATATATACACATATATATATATATATATATACACACACACACACAGAAATATATCATATATTTATTTACTTCACAAAACCAGAAATCTGCATGTTAATGTTAATTGTAAACTGCATGCAATTTTTTCTCAAATGACTGCTTTGTCAAAACCAGATGTAAACAGGACCTGTAAGATGTCTGAAACATCAGCACTGATCAGGTTGCGATACTCACCCGTACCAGTAGCGCGGGTCGTTGGGCAGGCAGTGGTTGAGGCTCCTCTGGGCCAGCGCTTTCTTCTTGTTGAGGACGAACTCCTGCAACCTCATCTTCACCTCAGTGCTCGCCACAGCGCCTGTCGATCACAGCCCACAGTTCAGGAAGATCACAAACAGCCAAGCAGTGGGACATTAATGGCATTTTCTCAGCCTCTAGCTGCGCTATAACGCTAGATCTCTCTAAAAGCCTCGGGAAGGGGTTTTATGCATTTGTAGACAGTCGTCAATTTCTTCGCCATTTCTAAACCCTGTAATTTGCAGTGCTGTAATTTCGTCTTCTAAATGCTCTTAAAAAAACTCTTAATAGTCTGAGACTGAGAAGATCGAACAGTGCCCAATTGATCACGACCACAAAGGCTGACACTTGTTTTCTGGTGTCGATAAACCGCTCTTCCACTGCAGCCAGACTCGGTTCAGATATCTCTTCACATCTGAGAGGAACGACCCCTTTATCCGGTCTTAAATAGAGTGCAAACTCTCTATTCCAATTCCCTTGAGACCGCCAAGGTTAAACAAAGACGTCTTTTTTCTCACTATTGTTCCCTCTCTCAAAGAAACACATCAGATGGATGAATTCTCACAGCTTTTCCTTCAATTACCACCTTTCCCATCGCCTGTAAACATGTCCCCAGAGGCCGTCGCTGGTGTACGCACACATCTGCGCCGCCAGACAACACGCACTCCTCGCAGACAACAGGTGACCGCCGTGTCAACGACAACAGTGACAGATAAAAATAGACCGGCTGTACTGTACTGATAATCTTATAAGATATCAGACAATTGGTTTTGCCAAAAACTACCATAGACTTAACAGGCCACGCACACACTAGCTATGTTTCCCATTCTCCTATTTTTATGCACATTTTGAGATATCGCATTAAAAAAAACAATCAACGTAAACACTAGGGCTGGGTTTTGACACAAATTTCACGATTCGATTCTCATTCACAAGCTTGTGATTCGATTCAATTACCAATTCGATTCGATTCGATTCAATATCGATTATTTTGGATACATATCAGGTACAGTACATGCCAAATTTTCTCAAGGAAAAAAAAGTCTCTCAACTAATGCTGTAAAATATATGAGAGTCAGTTGGTACTACATTACTATAATACTGAAGGTTAAAATTGACTGATTGAGCGATTACATGAGAAAGGATACGGATTGTAAAGTTGTACTCTTTCTTTTAACTTACCTTCGGATGTTTAGTCATGTTTATTTTGTGTTGAAACTGGTATTAATGTGGAAGAGATGATCAGTTCACGTGTGCCTCGCGCTGTTCCGTCCATTAACTGAAAACAGGCTAGACTAATCGATTCTTGGCATTTAAGAATCGATATCGTTCCGTAAAAATGAGAATCGATTAATATTGAGATATCGATATTTTTTACCCAGCCCTAGTAAATAAATTCTTTACATGTGCATGGAAAAAAAACATACGCGGTTAAATTTTTTATCCAACAGGAAAACGTGCATAAACCAGAATGGAAATGCATTTACCAAATAAATTCTTTGATGTGCATCAAAAAAGTAATGTGACTTTGGGTGATAGGATGGCATAACCGGACTAACGTTGCACAGCAAGATAATAGGACTGCATTTACTGCATTTTGTGTGTGCACTCTGACGCACAACTAATTTATTATACTGTATATGAAAAAGTGACTTCTCATACTGCAGCAAATTACCTTTTTCGTAGTCAGGAGCTCCTGCTGATGTTTCAGGGCCAGGAGGTCCTGCTGATGCTGAAGGGGAGGAAAAAGAACACACACATAAACAGTATTCAAGTGAATACAGTGGACCTTGATTTCAATTGTCTTAAAGTCCTCATAAATTCATCAAAATAAGTATTTTATTTACTCTTTTTTTTTTAAACCCAACATTATTCTGTTTTTACTGTGCACGATTCTTTGGTGCATGTTATTTCAAATATATATACATAAAACATAAATAAAAAGCGTGAAGTAAATGAAAAATAAACATTAAATAAAAAATTAAAAGTAAACTATTGTTCAAAAGTTTAGGGTCAGTAAGACTTTTTAATTGAAAAGAAACGAACTTCCTTTCAGCAAGGATGCATTAAATTTGCAATCACTTACAAAATATTTTTGTGCTTTTTATTCATCAAAAAAATTCTGGAAAAAAAACGTCTCTACAAAAATATTAGACACGACTAAAACAACTGTTTTCAACAATTATAATAATAATAGGCTAAATGTTTCTTGAGCAGTAAAGCAGCATATTAGAATGATTTCTGAAGGATAATTTTTTTTACATTTTTACCAATCAGATTTTGGTAGTAAAAAGATGAAAACAGCATTTCACATTGACTCTACATTGACACGACTACACCAAAGTCGTACCACCAATAACTAGATGCAATTGTTGGAAATACCGACATCATACAAGAAAGCAGTTCCTGAATGTGTTTATCGATGTCTTGTTGTGTAGCATAAAAGCAACATTCCACTTTTTTTCCAAATGAAACTAACATAAGCAATTATCTCAACAGCTCCCTGACTAAAATGAGCGTTTAAAGACGCTGGTAATCTCTCTCACACTGTGCTCTGTAAATGCAGCCATTGCGTCTAACATTTCCCTTTAACTGCATTTCCACTTCTGCAGTTATTCAGCTCAGCAGCAGTCACATCCATTACTGGCTTGTGATGATGGGTAATATCAGAGCCGCATACAGCTGATGCTTGGATGCTGAGTGGATATCGGTGATTCTGGTCAGTTAAATCACATTAACACTGGCACAGGGTCTAATAAAGCTCATGGCTAGTCTGTAAGCAAGCAGTTACTTAAGAAGATGCTTTTATCCAGCCTCGATACTCCTCTTTTTGGTTATATAAGTCTTTCCTCTCACTTTCTGCAGATCCTGGGAGATCACCGGCGATGAGTCATGGGCGTCTGTCACTTGGCAGAGCGGGGCTGGAGGCTGTGATGACGCTGGAGTGGAGAGCACGTCTACCGAACCGCAAAGACTCTTCCTCATCAGACAAAGCTCTGACATTTCTAACTGGAGCTTTTCAAACCATGCCATCTACCTCACCTCATCAATATGCATGGGTCTAACCACCATTTCACATCACATCTGGGCTGTCTAAGACCAGAAATAAGCGATGACACGAACCAATCTCAAGGATGACATGCTCTCCCCCCCCCAAAAAAATTTAACATTAACATTAATAATAACTATTACAGTATATATATATATATATTTTTTTTTTTAGTATTTATTGGCTATTATGCACCTGAGCAGCATTAAACAGTCTGTACAAATAAACATACAAGCCATGTCAGATGCAGCTTCTTTTCCACTTTTGCAGTGTAAAGATGCATTTTGTTGATGTTGAAAAAAATTTGATTGGTAAAATAAAATAAAATAAAATAAAATAAAATAAAAATATGAATGGAAAAGTGGTGTTTGGTCAATGCATTGCGACAATCAGTGTAAAGTACTTTTTATGTTATGTATTGCTAATACATAAATTGAAATGTAAATTTGATGAATTATATATTAAAAATCATTAAATTAAATGTTATTTAAATAGATGTTATTTCATATATAAAATAAACTATTTATAAAAAATCTACTGGTATATACCGTATTGACCCGAATATAAGACGATGGTTTTTTCTTGGAAATACATCTAAAAAAAACGCGGTCGTCTTATATTCAGGGTCTAGACTTTGACATGTCAATAATACACCCACAACAATAGGTGGCGCCAAATACGCATAAAACGAGCGTGCCATGAAATACGTAATGTAATGCGTGTTGTAAAGATCGCGAG